CAGACTCGAGTCATTAATTTTATGACTTTAGACTTGACTTGAAAAAATGTTCTAAGACTTGTGACTTGACTTGGACTTTTACACCAATGACTTGGGACTTGAATTGGACTTGAACCGGTTTACTTGAAAAGACTTGATATTTTACCCCAAATATAAAATCTAACATGCATATTATATAGAGATTGAAAATGTGACGTCATTCACGGGTAGAACCGCAAAGGATTCTGGGAACTCGTGGCAAGCGGTACTAGCGCACGCAGGCTTTCAATTAAAATCAGTTATACAGCGATAAAAAGAAACACAAAAATGTCAAGAAGCTGTTGTATTATTAACTGCAAATAGCCGGTCGCATGACAGCCACGGGAAGCCGACGGGTAAAGAGATCGGTTGTTATCGGATTACGTCATTGAGGAGAAATTGTTCGAGCCATGTTTCCGAAGTAACAAAGACGCAACGGATGGTCTGGATTGCAGCCATTCAAAGATCAAATATAACGTCCCAGAACACTCCAGCTCACAGGTTAGTCTGCTCCAAGCATTTCCACAAAGGTCAGTCTGCTGTTGTAGTTAATGCGTCATTTTTCTTAACATAATTGGTGATATAGGTTACAAGCAAGTCTGGCGCTGAACAGAAATTGTCGCGCTATGCTCCTTTATTTATTGTGCATAAATAGTGAATTGTCCTGACAGAATATTGCGTTTCGCTTCTGTTATTATGGTACATTGACAAAAACATATACTTTTATTCACAGGATAAAACAGTTGTTTTGTATCACTAATTGCCCAGTACGATTACAGCATACAGTATTATTGTCACTGCTACATTTCTGTGACGCTACCAGAAATTATTTCCACTACTAATTAATTACCGTTGAGCTCAAAGGTCCTATTAATAAACGGTTAAGGAATGTGTATTTATGATGACGATTTGTGAGACTGGTAAACTTATGATACGTACGATGGTCTTTCGTTCTACACGGTGCATTTCAAGGTCCTGTACCCATCCGTCGGTAAACTGTACCTGGGCTTGTTGCAGTGACCTGAAGTTACTAAACTTCATGAGTGTATGCACTCACTCCAAGAACCGTATAATTATAAATATGCATATAAATATGCTACGATGAGATAGCTGACTTCATCTAACTAGCAAATGTTTTCCAGGCTACGTTGGTGATACAGTTTTTTTTTAATGTGTATGATATTTTTGTCATGCGATTTTAAAGCCGGTCCTACAACCGCATCCAAGAATAACATGCAGCTTATCTCAGAACTGTCGGTGAAAATTATTCTTGGAGCTAGGTTTAATTGAGCTGCATTTTAAAGAGGTGCAATTTCACAATTTGTGTATATTTTCTAAGTTCACTATTTTGTCATGTGTTGAGAAAAACACAGATTTAAAAATTACATGGTCTAATATTTACATTTAGCATATAACTGCAACATGCTTTTTTTCGTTTTTTTTAACGACTTTTAACGACTTGCTTTGTGAGTGACTGCTTGTTGTCAGTGGCCATGCTAGTACCCCAAATGTCTTTTTTGCAAACTGTCAAATTGTGGAAGAACTGTAAATCCTCCTATAGTGATTTATAGCTGTGCATGGGTACAGTAGCAGTAGCAACATCTCTGCTTCAAATTCAACATTTGTCTTCTGTTTCTGCTTCTCTTTCTTCTCATGTTTTCTACAGGGAGTGCAGAATTATTAGGCAAATGAGTATTTTGTCCACTTCATCCTCTTCATGCATGTTGTCTTACTCCAAGCTGTATAGGCTCGAAAGCCTACTACCAACTAAGCATATTAGGTGATGTGCATCGCTGTAATGAGAAGGGGTGTGGTCTAATGACATCAACACCCTATATCAGGTGTGCATAATTATTAGGCAACGTCCTTTCCTTTGGAAAAATGGGTCAAAAGAAGGACTTGACAGGCTCAGAAAAGTCAAAAATAGTGAGATATCTTGCAGAGGGATGCAGCAGTCTCAAAATTGCAAAGCTTCTGAAGCGTGATCATCGAACAATCAAGCGTTTCATTCAAAATAGTCAACAGGGTTGCAAGAAGCGTGTGGTTTTGAATGTCAGAAATGTATATTTGTGAATGTGGAGATGTTATATTGGTTTCACTGGTAAAAATAAATAATTGAAATGGGTATATATTTGTTTTTTGTTAAGTAGCCTAATAATTATGCACAGTAATAGTCACCTGCACACACAGATATCCCCCTAAAATAGCTAAAACTAAAAACAAACTAAAAACTACTTCCAAAAACATTCAGCTTTGATATTAATGAGTTTTTTGGGTTCATTGAGAACATGGTTGTTGTTGTTCAATAATAAAATTATTCCTCAAAAATACAACTTGCCTAATAATTCTGCACTCCCTGTAATTCTGCACTCCCTGTATGACGTAAAGGCATAAAGTTCCCAACAATTCCTATGAAATGTCCTCGAAATTACTCAGTACTCAGGAAGAAACAGGAAGTGAGCCACATGTTGTCATTACTACTCTCCACCATAACTATACACAAATCCTTCTTTTATTGAAAGCAGAGCTTGTGAGTTTAAAGCTGTGAGCAAACAGTATTATTGCCCAGTGGCAGTTACTCAGACAGTGTGAGACCTTTAGTTGTTCTCTTTTCTCATTGTACCTGTTTGCAATGGTCTGTACCTGAGTTCTCTGCTATTTTGGTCACTGACCCTTAGCCACAAGTTAACCACAGAAGTCATTTGATATACATTTTACTGTGATGATGATCCTGTGGTGTTTGTCCACAGACTACAGTGGAAAAACATCCTAAATTTAGACATTATGTGTCCTCTGACCATCCCACATCTGGTGAGCTGACGCTTAGAGGGTTAGGCCCTGATGCAACAGCACGTCATCGTTCACATTATCAGCATTACAAGTCCATCCCAGAAAAATATTCATTTGTAACATAGCAGACATAATAAATGTAAAAAGAAAAACATACACTTAAATTGCAATGGAAGGCTATTAAGATAGAGCTAAAAGGAACTAAAGAGAAACGTGAGAAGAAAGAAGAGTCTTAGTTTCCCTCTCGAGTAAAGCCAACCAGCCTGATAAATATCTCTATAGCCATGAGAAAATCGCCTTAGCTGTTTAGAGGAGCAATTAGTCTCAAGAATTCGGGTTAATGAGGTACAATTAAAAAAAAATATAAATATTTTAAGGAATCCAATGACTCTTCTTTGTGCCAGTATCCCCTTAAGAGCTTTCCTCAGTGTTATATTGGGCAGCTTCAGAGTTTTGACTCCTTGTGGTTTCTCAAGGAAACTGGTTTCTGTGGGCACCTTGGGTTAAAAGTGTAAATAAGCTATAAATGAAACACCTCTTTATCCTGTCTATTACTATGTAGAAACCTTGCATCAGGCCCTAAAAACCCTCACTGGTGACTGATACTCGCTTCATGCTCATGTCTGTTATTAAACCTTTGAAATAAGTATGAATTTAACATTGAGAGATAAGATCAACATAAACTTTAATTCAAAGACTTCAAAGACACTTTTCAGCCACGTTTGAAATTGCAGGAGGAAATGCGAGAGAGACCTTGAAGTGGCTCGACCCCAGCATCCCGGATCTAACTTAAGTGCTAGGTAAATTATTTTAATCCCCCAAAGTTCCTGCTCCGGGTAGTAATTTTCAAAGAGCACAAACTTTGCAGGTGGAGCTTGCAGGAATAAAGCTTCTTTGATTGGTTGAGTGTCTATTTACTGTGTTCCTCTCTATTCAATTACTGAGGAAGTTTGTTATAGCAATATGTGACAACTCAGCAGCCTGTTATCTCAAATAAAATGTATCCTGTAAATGAAACACTATTTAAAAACAACACTTAAAGCACCGTGAAACAGTGAAGTGAATATAACTGATCAAGTCTGGGAAACCTTGAGTTTTTATTATTTAAGTTGTTATAAGGAACCATTTGAGGAATAGCTACAAAAACTTTCTCCTCGGATCCCAGATCAAAGAGAGACAGTTCATACTTTTGACTGATCACCTCAGTATTGCATTTCATCACTGGCTGATCAATATAGGACAAAAATAACACAGATCTTTATTAACTTTATTTATTCTGCAATGGGTTCATGAACAAAAACCCTTTGTCAGGATAATAATTAATCCATGCAATGTTTACATAGATCCTAATTCACAGACCACGAGCCCCACGCATGTCTGATTTACTACAGTACGATATCCATATTATTTTTTTCTCATGGAACAGAGACATTTTCTGTTTCTCTAAGAAAATTTCACTGTGCAAAAAGACGATCTTAAACAGAATCAAGCTGTCACAGCATTTTTCTCTCAGAAAGATAAACTAATATAACCAAGTGCAATAACATATTCTCATGCAGTAGACACCATAATAATGTTTTAGTATTCTACATATGATCTATATTTGAAATTATATATTTCACAGTATACAAACCGTTATTTAGCACCTTATTATACAAAGCAATAAAACACATGGAGGAAGTCCCGAAAAGTTGATTCTATTCATCTGGACGTAGCGTCCCCAACCTTATAAACAGGTTGGTGACGCTACGTCCAGATGAGACTGAAGAAGTCACTTGAATGAGTGACAAAATGTTTCTCCCACTAAAAATGCTACGTCCACATGAACAAAATCAACTTTTTGAGATTTCCCTACATGGATGATTGCGCATGCATTAAGACACGTGGAGGAAGAATCATTACAGCACAGTATGCTGTAAATAGGATGAAGGTCAGAGAACCATTCCTGAATTTCATTCAGGTTCTGTTGTTTTTTTGTGATTAAAGGCTCATTTATGGTGTTTTATCCTTGTAAATCTGAAATTTCAATACACGAGAAAAAACAGGCTTTCATTCTTTCTTTCTTTCTTTCTTTCTTAACTGGAGGAATTTCTAGTAAAGCTCACAGTGATGCTCTCTGCAATCACTAATAACTAACTCACTACCTGCTGTAGATATCAACTTATATCTGCTGTAACCTGTTTTTTTTAAAAAAAAATAGTCCTGCTGTAGGTGCATGTGGTGAACTGAGCCACAGACTGCGTTGTGCACATGCTTAGATCTCAATGTCGAGAACCTGGCGCAGACAATGGCTCACGTCGGTGGGGATGTCCACAAGACTGAGCTCGTTTCCATCCAGTCGCACCATTAAGAGTCTGGAGAAATTTGTCACGTCCACAACACTGCAGAAGCTACCCACAGTAAACTCTACAGGCAAGAGAAAGAGTGGAGACAGCGATGAGTTCACTTTCATGCAAAACTGTAAAATGGCAGTATAACTGTATAAATCACCCCAGGAAAAGACATGTCCAACATCTCATTTCTCAAAATCCAGCAAACAACTTTTTGTTCTCGTTTAATCTAAGTGGCAGTACATATACGATCATGAACTTTCTTATTACGAAATCAACAAAACTGGCTTAAAGGTAGAAAACTGAATGGTAATGTAGAGCATGACGATTAAAAAAATGATTTCTTCAAAGAAACTCTCACCTTTGATCTGATTGGCTTGCAGGTAAAGGTATTGCAGCGTGGTGCTAACTGAAGGAATTCTCTCCAGTTTGTTGAAGCTCAGGTCCAGCTCCACCAGCCCAGACACGTTAAACATGTTAGCGGGGATGCCTTTATTTGTTAGCAGGTTATGCGACATCCTAAAATACTGTAGCTGAGAGAAGAGGCTCAGGAATCCCTCAGGTATAGAGTCGATGGCATTGTACTCCAGGTAGAGCTGATGCAGGTATGCAGGGAGCGGAGCTGGGACCTGGGACAGTGACACAACATCTCTGAACGAGATTACCTTGGTTGCTTAATAATGCATTTAGAAAAAAACAGATAAACAATTACCTTTGTCAACTTGTTGCTACTGAGGTCAAGCAGTGTGAGGGAGTTCAGCCCCTTCAGTGATGAGCCCACCTCTGAGAGAGCATTATCATGAAGGTACAGGATAGTGAGGTTATCCATTCCCTCTAGGTCTGCAGGTGACACCTAGGTAAAAGTGGCAATAGCCGTAAAGCATATCGTAATGTCTCAACTGATGTTGGACTAAAACAGGAGGGCTGTGAATGTGAATTTTTGAAGATTTACCTTCTCAATCATGTTGTTATCCATTCTCAGGTCTCTCAGGCAGAGGGGAAGGTTTGAAGGAATGCTGGTCAAATTATTGTATTGTAGATATAAACGCTCAAGTTCCCCCAGCTTCACAAATGCCTGCAAAATGATCAAGATGAGCAGGTATAAAACCCAAAAAGAAAAATCATCCTAAATTATGTGGTGGTTTTACAATAAAAATGATGAAAGGGGCCTTTTCAGAGCACAGATGCATTATTGTCGGTTGTGATATTGAAATGATATTACACTACATCTTTTTATGTGTTTGCAAACGACCGGCTAAGTTTCAACTAGCATTCAAACTGATGGTTACAGTGCGTGAATGTGCGTGATGTGTTTTTCAGTGTGTTTCACTGGAGAAAGAGACTTTATGCTGAGGGTTGTAGACCACAAGGTTTGTGGCTCTGATGTAGCAAGCTGCTGTCTGGTTTAGTGTGAGCATGTGCTCTGCTGATCACACTGCTTTACCCATACATGTTTCAAATTATAACAAGTTTATTATATGATGACAGAAAACTAACCACAATATTTATTCATGTTTTTTCCCCCTTTTGGTTTCTTCTTTTCTTTAAAAAAACAGGTAACACAGGAAATTAACTTGAGGATTAAGAACAGACAGCAATAAAAGAAAACCGACTCGGGCTGTTAGACACCTGTCAGCCATTGTACCGCTATTTATAGTGATGTGTGTCTGGATGTGCCTATGACTACGTGTTTACCTTCTTGCCAATTGATTCAGATGTCAGCTGGTTGAAATGCAACATAAGCCACACCAGATTGGTTGCATTGCTTAGAGCCGAGTCAGGCAAAGATGTGATGGCATTGTGTTGAAGATACAAGTATTTGATATGGGAGGGAATCGGTGGCACGGTGGTAAGGCCTCGCCCATTACAGTACATAGCAACGGGGAAGGAAGAGGGGCAGTCACACTCGTCAGGACACGCCGACACACTGTATGCTCTGTCTGCATACTGGGAGCCATAAAAGTATCCTTGGCTCTGCCAGTAATTTGTCCAGGAGTTCCATCCATGGCAGAGAACGAGGGGAATCAGGGCAGACAAAAGGAAAATCACCTGACGCATGATGGAAGGAAGTCACTCAAATCCTAACTGTAATGTAACACAGGGAGAACAGAGGGACATGCAGTGGTATTAAAAAGGCCAAAAAATAGAAAAAGTTATTCACAATCACCAAAATGTTCGAGATTTATAATCTTACAGATGTTTTAGAACGTTTTGAAATGCTCAAACATGTGAAATTTGACATTTAAAAGAACAAAAAAATCTTTCAGAAGTATAACTGCCAACTTTAACTAAATCTGTTATTCTTCTGTCCTACTTAGGTTTAAGGTGCAGTGCAGGCATGGACTTCATTTGGAAATATTGCTGCCTGCAGGCAGTCACATTCTTACTGGTCTTAGTCCACAGGGAAACTCAGAAAAGCCTTTCCTGGCTTTCTTAAACCTTCCATGAATGCCAGTTTTGTAATATTCACTCTGTTACCTTAAAAATTAAGGTAAAACATTCAGTGATTATTTTTCCAAAATTATTCTACCCTTACTTCTCATTTAGCCTTGTATAAATCTCAATTTAAAAGAAAACAAAAAGATTTCACACACTTGCATGCACACACAAACACACACACCTACCCGATCAAAGGCACTGGCCCTCTTGTCCCCCGCTCTCTCTCTGAGTGAGTGTGCTCAGGACTGCAGGGTGCTCTGACACACACTGTATGAAAAGTATTTTCTCCCCTCCCTGCTCTCCGTTCCGTCATGCTAGCCCCCTCCACACCCGTCTGTCTGTTCTTGTGCTTTTGATTACTTCCACCCCCTTGTCCAGTTGCCCGCACCCCATTGCATTTGGTCAGGAATGGCCCACAGCCCACTCTGAAGCCTTTTTTCTCCCCCTCCAGTGTGAATGATGTGAGACGCAGTGGCTTTGAGGGATTGTTCCCATCTGCGAGCAGCACATTCAATCCCTCCGTTTCCTCATTTCGAGTGACCCCCTCTCTTTCTTCACAATAAAGGGTAGAAAAATAAAAGTCATACATAAGTGGCAATGACAAAATGATCCAACTTTGGTTCATATGGTGCAAATGCAAATACCTGTGAAAGACTAAAATGAGTAAGAACTTGATATTACATATACTTTAGCTGTAGCACTGCAAAGAAAGTGGAAGTTTTGTTATCGTAGTTTATTGCAGCTACAAACATAAAATTGCAGGTGTGCTGTTAGCAGGTGAGACACTCACCAGCCAACTGTGTAATTTGGAATAATGAAAAGCTGGATAATTGGTTGTGTTTTTTTCTTCTTGCTGCTTTTTTTAGGAGGTCATCATTACAGCTGGAATAACTCAAAGCAAGCATACCTTCATCAGCACACACCTGCGGGGTTTTTTATTGTGATCTGTGTGGGGAAACGATGCAGAGAAAGAAGTACAGCACAGGTCAGTTTTGTTGTAACAGTACACGGTAAAAACCTTGTTACGCCTTGCATGTGATTGTTTTGTTCTTTCGTAGTTGCTTCAGTGTGCTGACAAGTGTTTTTCCTGTGTTGTGTTGTAACGTGTAAGGCGTTGGTTTAAACATTATTAAACATAATAAGATAACCTTAAGACAGAACCTAGATGCCCTTCGACCTACATAAGTTTTGTTTCATTTTTTTTTTACATGGGTGGACCCAACTCTTTCTCGTCTACAACAAGCTTACATCTTGTAAAGGGTTAAATGAAACCATGTGTGACAGTCTCTTTATGTTGTCTGTCTGGTTTCAATGTGGGCCTCTTCCTGCTTCTCTATGTTCTCCAACTCAGCGTCCATAAGAACCAGTGTTTCTACTCATTTTCTGCCCTCTCGACATCTTTTCAATCATTGGTTATTCTGAACTTCTATCTCTTCTTTCTATCCCGCTTTTTCTCTCCTCCTTTGATGTAAGCTTGGAAGATCTATAATTTTTCACTAAAATATTATATTTACACATGGTGATGAAATCTCTGAGCTTTAACTATATGAAGGGAAAGATTTTTTGGAAACACATGAAAATATAAACAGTTAGGTCCAATATTTGTTGGGAGAAAGACAAAATATCTGTAGTTTTGCCTCTGCTCACCACCACACTGGATCGCACAGTCAACGTGCTTTCAGTTTTACTTTGGAGGGTTTTTCAGATGATTTGCATGAAGTTTTTTCTTGCAGCTTGCTTCAGGTCATTATCCATTTGCACTGTGGAGCTCTGTCCAATCAGTTTTGCAGAATTTGACGCAATCTGAGTTGAGAGTATAGCGTTGTATACTTCAAAATTATTCTGCTGCTTATATTAGCAGTCACATGAGCAATAAAAACTAGTGACCCAGTTCCACTGGTAGCTATATCGACGTTATAACGCTGCCTCCGCCATGTTTGACATATAATGTGGTATGATTTGGGTGATGAGCTATTATTTCCTTCTTCAGATTTTTCTCCTTCCATCATTCTGATAATGATCTTAATCATAGTCTCATCTGTCCATAGATTTGTTTGCAGAGCTATCCGGTTGTTCAGTCTGATGTCACTAGCCGTGCCTGGACCTAAACTCCGCTGCAGGTCCATATATCAAACGATCACTATGGCATTACTGAGAGTTGAAACTGTCTATCTTTCATCTTGAATAAAATGATCAGCGTTCTGCTCTACCAGGTGTAATAATTGAGTTTAACATCCGGGCATCCATGAAAACGAAATTTATGACATTTAACGGAGTTAGAAGTTAGCAGGGAGTTAGCTCGCTAGCTTCTATCTAAATACAATATAGCATGTCCTGACTGCGGGGTTTTGGAAACAAATTAAAAAGTACAGCTCTGTTATCACTTCCAGCATAAATGAAGACAGAAAACTAAAAAGCAGTGACGTTTGTAGGGTTACTGAAGTTGGGCTAGCTGGTATATAATGATGTGCTACGTGACTGCTAGCGACACAGCTATGTTAGCATAATATAAACAAGCTAACTTTTTTTCCCCACTCGATAAAAGTTAACGTGAGTGTTCTCGGTGGTCAGGAACAAATGTAATCGCATGGCAGGATGCTGTAAAAGGACCAAACTTCAGCCAGGAGAACAACTGAGATAATCCATCCATAATACAAGGTTAGTCATTCATATACTGCTGCATGGGCTGGGCTGTAGTTACATCCTAAGGTTTTAAAAACTGAGCTTAAATAAATGATTAGCAGTAATAAAAGCCGAGGGAGGTCAACAGTGATCACTGACTGTTTTAGGAGGTTTTTGAGATCAAATAGAAGAAAATACATAACATTAAACATGTTAACAACACAAAAGCCATATTAAACGCAGACTACTTTAGGCCCGGAAGTAGGATTCGTCGTGTCATCACTGAACAACCGGATTGGTTGTCCTAAAAGTCGCTAGAAGTCGCTAAATGACGTCATCGCCTAATTTGCATAATTGGTCATGCTAATGTACCTGTAACCTATGTTGTTGGAGAGAGAAATAACCTCGTGGAAGAGACATAAAGTGAGTAAAAAACGTCCTAAATGCATTTAGAGTTTATTTAGAACTACAAATTAAATTTCTTTTAGCAATTATTGTTTTTTTTAATGTCACAATTCCAACCCTGCTCCTTTACCTGGGCTTGGACCGGCAAAAGTGACCCGAAATAGGCACTCTGGTGGAGTTACTTTGTGTGTGTGTTTATAAGTAGTTCTAAACCTTGTGATCCACAAAACAGCATAAGAGTAGAAGAAGAACTGACTGCGTTACAGCACCCGCTGCTTGTTGAGAGTAAAAGCGATACGCGCTTTCACGTCTTTTTTTAGCGACTTTTTTTTAGAGAAAAAGTCGCTAAGGGGTCTGAAAACTCGCTAAATATAGCGACAAAGTCGCTAAGTTGGCAACACTGTGGTGCATGGGCTGGGCTGTAGTTACATCCTAAGGTTTTAAAAACTGAGCTTAAATAAATGATTAGCGGTAATAAAAGCCGAGGGAGGTCAACAGTGATCACTGACTGTTTTAGGAGGTTTTTAACATTAAATAGAAGAAAATACATAACATTAAACATGTTAACAACACAAAAGCCATATTAAACGCAGACTACTTTAGGCCCGGAAGTAGGATTCGTCACGTCATCACTTAACAATCAGATGCCGACTCATTTAGATGTTTTCTAGCAACATATAATCTGGCCTCCGTGTTCATGAGTGGAACCAGTGATTTGTTGTAACGACAGACGTAAATTGACTAAGCAGGCTGTCATGAGAGCGAGCAACCTCCATAAATGCAACAAGTCAAGGAATAAGCTTTGTTTTGTATCACATCTAACATAGCAACTATTGAACAATCTGTACATGTTGTCACATTCAGTCTGACTCTTTTTAAGTCAACATATTTCCCAAAATGATAATTTTGCAATCCATTTATGTAGCTTTTAGAGACTCATCCAGAGTCTGTTGGCTGTTCTTCCTGTAGCCATTGCATCCGACATCTGACAGTAAAAAGCTTTATGAATCAAAAAAAGGGAAGAAAAGGGTGACCAGATGTCCACATTGCATTACATCTAAGCCAAAAGTTTCTTCCCTCTTTCTTTTTTGTCTGCAGGCATCCACAGACAGATGTAGCATTGGCAAAATGTTTAAGCAGTCATATTTGTTCCTGTAAAATGTTTTAGTATTTATTTGATTTTAAATATTTCTCTTAAAACATCTGAGGAGTTGTGTTCAACACCTGTGAAGTGAACCAAGAGACCGATAATTAACAGTCAAACCCTAACATGAGGTTATAAGGTTAATAACTCTTGAAATACTGAAATCTGCTTTTATGAGATTGTTAGGCAGATAAAGTTGTGTGACTTTTGTGTGCATGCATGAGACAAAGATAACCTTTCTGTGCCACGGTGTGACACATTCTCAAGGTTACCAGCAGCTACCCTTGAAAGTGAGGGAAATGACTCAAGGTCTTCAAAGTAAAAGGGTAATCTGGACTTTGAGGAGCAACATGTCCAACCCCCACCCATGTCCCCCCGTCCCCAAACTGGGTCATGAGCGGCACTGAGCTAGAACTTAACCCTTCTAGCGCAGACTGTGAATGCCTGCTAATTTCTTCTTGTGCAAAAAACCAAAGAAATACCAAGAAACCAAAACACTGACAAAGAGATATCAGACAAGCCAAACGCCAGGCAGAAGTAACTGCAAAAATACACACGGACAACACACTAACTTCTTTTATCTCCAGCATGAAGTCAAACAGGAAAAACGCAGTTTGTTTGCAGCACGTTGCTTAAAATGAGCCAAAGTGCTCCGTTACATATGTATGGCAGTCAGATGTTCTCCCTGCTGGCTGAGGTAGAGATTCATGCGGCCCTCATAAATTTGCACTAATTTAAAAAAATCCTGTGTTTAATTGATAAGTAAGACGTGATGTTAGGGTTCCTGAAAAAGAAAGTATGGAAGAAGATAATAAAACAGTAGAGACGATAAAAGATTCACTACAGAATTCACTGCTACTTGTGATGCATTTTTTTCTTAAACTGCATAGTTTGCACATCTCTGTGTTTCTCATTTCCTGGACGCTAACCTTAACTTTTACATGCTTCACCTCATCCCTAATGATACACACACTCACACGAGCAGCATTAATAGCTCTTCTCAAGCATCCCTGATCTCCTCACTCCCTGCACTCCACTCCAAATATAGCTGCTTCTAACTTGTCCTCCACACAGTTCCAAATGCTGCATAAAA